GGATATAAAATGGTGCTACACAAGAAGTGTTACCACTTCCATTTCTGCCCAATGAGGAACACAAAGAAAGTAGTCTTTCCATGAAAAAGAGTATAAAAAAATACCCCTTCCCATCACAATATGGGAGAGAACAAAAAGGCAATAGGCAGAAACAACTAAAAATAAAACAGAATATTGTAGCATCATGCTAAAAGAGAAAAAGAAACCATTTTCAGCTTGAGAAGAAAAGAGCAAAGACATTTTCCAGGGCATACGGAATGTAAGCAAAAACTCCAAAAATGAAAAGAAAGCAAAGCAGTTTCCACACAAAGTAATATAAGTACACTGATATATAAGAAAGACACCCCAGGGTGGACCAGGAAAGGGCAAACCCAATAAGAAACTCAGGAAAGAGGATCTAAAAGAAGTTAACAATATAATAGGAGAGAAACAGTGGAAATTTCCAGTTAAACATGGTGACTTGAACAAAGTATTTCTCTCTCCCTCGCACTAATCTGTACTAAAATGATAATAGTTATAACTCATAAGAGCAAATAGAATGAATAAGGAGAAGATCGCAGACAAGATACAAACAAACATTTGGAGATGAGGAGGTCACTGGCTAGGACATTGACCACCGCGTGAACCAATAAGAAATGTCAACTCATGCTTCAGAATCCCAAAAACACGCAAGAATTGGAGGCTGACCTTCAAGGATGGGCTAAAACCAGAATGACTAGTTGGAGTGGGTTTAAAGACCAGGTCGTTTTCCCTAGACTCTCCCAGTCAGGTGCGTGCCTCTCCCTGATCCTGGCAGATGTTTATTCCCTGACGAGGCTGACCCAGAGAAGCTTAGAACTGGGACACCAGGAACAGTGGAAATCAGGATGAAGGGTCAGATTGAAAACAAAGCACCAGAAAGTGTGAATAGAAAACTAGGAGGCCCTGGCCCATTCTTAATCATCTCAGAATAACAGCAACAAGCCTTACATATCCTAAAAAATAGATGGGTAAATTTGCTTTGGAGGAATGACCGTAATTTGGAGATCAAGCAGTCCAGATTGGATTGGGACAATGGAGAGCCACAAAGACAGTCTCAGGGGGAGGAAGGGCTGCTGGACTCCTGATTCTGGTTTGTTTCAGAGGAGTTTTATAGTTTTATCAAATAGCTCAGGGCCTCAATCTGTGACTAAAATTCTATTGATTAATTATATTAATTATGAACGAGTGAAAAGAGGAGGCAATTATGATTAGGAAAATCAAAAAGTTACGCAAGGAAAGAAATTTAATCATAGTACACTATGTGGCCTCACTATGTACAGTATTTATATTATCATGAGACTGTAAATACTGTATATTAATTAAAGCCAAAAAGTAGGAGACATGTATTTGAGGACAGGAATATAACAGAGAAAATCCTCTCTTGATGTGTTCCTTTGTACACTGTAAATCAATAGTTATATCTAGAGGCTTTTTCAGATTCAGGCTTAATTCTGTTGGTGGTTTTCAGATACTTCCATCAGGACATCATGATGTCTGGCTGTCTCTCTTCTGCTGATGCTAGCAGATACTGATAATCATTGTCAAATGGTGATTCCTAAATCTATTATTCCTTCTTGATTTATTAGTGGGATTACTTTTAAAAGAGAATTTTCCCCTCATCAATGACTAGGTTACCATGAGGTGAATTTCATATAGGAATCACAGAAAATAAATGCTTAGTCATTTGCTTTATCAGTTTTCAACACTGATTCTTTGTTTTTATAAGAGTTTCTATTGGGTTTCGCATGTTAATTTTATAACCTGCTATTTGGCTAACTTCTCACATTGTTTGTAGTAGTTCCATTAATTCTTTAGGATTTTCGAGATATATCATCATAAATCTGAAAATAAAGATAAGTTTACCTCCTTCTAGCTTGCTTTCCTTATCTGTAGAAATGTTCTATTCCTGACTCTCTATCTTTCATAGCTTTGTATGGGATTCCAATTAATAATTTTTCTATTGGTTATTTTTACGTAAAATTAGTTTTTCAGTATTTTGAGGGGGATATGGACAAGATAGCTTTTAGAGCTTTATGGAACTTTTCTTTTCTCTGTTTTCATGAAGTGACAAAAATGACAATCTTGCACACATTGAGGTTTCCACATCTGTTTCACTCCAACACTTCTTACTGGACCTTCTCTTTCCTCTGCTCCTACTGATCCCATCCTGCACAGAAGTCTACTCCAGAACATTCTCTTCAGTGCAGGGCTTTGTCTGGGAAAGGTGCTTCAATTTGACATTCTAGAGAAGTCACAGGAGAAAGACCAGCAGACCACTCCAATATCAGTAGTCCATCTCATGGTCTCCTTGCACACATCCACTCACAGGAACCATCAAAGTCCCCTCCCAATTGCTGTTGTCCTAAGAATGGCAGGACGAGCCACCAGCATATACCTCATGGCAATTTGGGGGATTCCTGGCTCTGAGAGTAGTCACTAGTCCCCTTGCCTTAGCTGAGCTTCCTCCCTCACGCTTTCTGATATCACACAGTTCTAAAGCTGTTCATGGTTTGCTCCTCTCACTCCTGTTTTGAGCTTCACGGAGCTACCTTATCACCTATAATTGTTGCCGATAGTTGCTCTAATTATATGAGGGATTTCAAAACCTATGCCACCATCATCCTTCCAGAATCCTTTCTTATTTTTTTAGCTATATCCACGAATTACTTTAATAAAAATAAAACTTAACTTGAAAGAGAGAGAAATCAGAGTGCATCAGATAGACAAGCCTCAACCTTCCTTAATAAGCATTTTAATTAATTCCTTATTAAAAATTAAAAATATCAAAATCTCATTGTTATCATTATACTATGGTGTACACACTGACTCTTAAAACTATGTGACCCTTAATAGCAACAAGCACACCCAGCACCCAATCTTGGTTTCTAAGTACCATTTTCTAAATAAAAGGAACCAGGGCTCTTTGGAGAAATGGCTGATTCTAGGTCTGGGACTGGGAAAATACAATATAAAACCAAAAGCATCTTGTAGGACCACGAAGTAAGGAAGTGCTCAAAAACCAAAGGGATGAAGACACTTCAAAGGGACGTAGGAGGGGCCAGCCCCGTGGCTGAGTGATTAAGTTCACGCACTCCACTTCGGCGGCCCAGGGTTTCGCCGGTTCAGATCCTGGGTGCAGACATGGCACGGCTCCCCAAGCCAAGCTGGGGCAGCGTCCCACTTGTACAGCTAGAGGCATTCACAACTAGAGTATACAACTATGTACTGGGGGGCTTTAGGGAGAAGAGGAAAAAAAAAAGATTGGCAGCAGATGTTAAAAAAAAAAAAGACATAGGACCCAACCTAAAAGAGCTCCCAACGGCCAAAGCAGGAACAATTTGAGCAACAAAAGAAATAATGCACCAGTGTATAATAACTAGGATGCAGATAAAATATAGAATGACAAGTTAAATTTGAATATCAGATAAACAGTGAAAAATTTTTTAGTCTAAGTATGCCTCGTTGCAATATCTGAAATGCTGATCTCTATATATCATGTATAGGTTGACGTATACTAATAGTAAGTTAACTATATAGTAAAAAGAAATATAGGGGCCGGCCTGGTGGCACAGCAGTTAAGTGTGCACGTTCCACTTTGGCGGCCTGGGGTTCGCCGGTTCTGATCCCTAGGTGTGGACACGGCACCGCTTGGCAAGCCATGCTGTGGTAGGCGTCCCACATATAAAGTAGAGGAAGATGGGCACGGATGTTAGCTCAGGGCCAGTGTTCCTCAGCAAAAAGAGGAGGATTGGCAGCAGTTAGCTCAGGGCTTATCTTCCTCAAAATATATATATATATATATATATATATATATAATTCTTTGTCTATAACAGTAGGTTTAATCATTCTCAACAATTCCTTTCATTTCACCTAAATGATACTAAATCTAAAAGTTCTCCCAGGAGTTAGTGATGTATCTGTGACCTAGATGGACGCAATCTTGCAATCAAAGACAAGATTATGGAGGCCAGGTTGGGGAAAACCAGATAATCGATTCTCTTCACAAATGTTGCATTAACAATATTTATTTCTGCTTCATTAATACAAAATGAGTGCACAGGATTTGTGCACTGCCATATACTTTAATAAAATTGAAGTGTCAATATTCCTCTAGCAGTTATTTCTTGCCCTGTTTTGCCCTCATGGAATTTAATATTTAAAATTTGTGAAACAGAATGTATTTCTTAGCAAGATGACAGAATCAAAATTCTCTTATAGCATTCTCCTTTTACCTTTTACACTCTTAGAGCATCTATGTCAAAAAGTTCTTAGGTGTAGGTTAAATCTGAAAATTACTTAATTTCAAAACATAATTATAAGGGGTTTTTTAACATTGCTAAATGAAGGCCAGTCTTGGAAAAATGAGTTTCAGTAAAAATTTTACAGTCAAAAAGTAGCAATCACCTCAGAACATTGTACCTCCTTAGGTCAAAAGGCAAGACTTGCCTTGATATAGTTTGAGTTTAGAAAATTTCACTGTGATGAATAGCATTTCTCTTTAAAAAGAACAACTTCAATGCCTAGTTCGTAAATTTTAAAATATTTACACTGAAAACAAACTGGAATAAGACAAGTGAACAACTTTTAACATGCATTCTGAAATGAAATTCTTTGTGAATTTGCCAAATTCAAAAACTATCCTTACTGCCCACAAACACAGTAAAGTTCAATATCCTCTCTAAGATTTTGACATACTAAAGGATTTTTACATATAAATTCTTCTAACTGGAAACAACTAGAAAAAAATGATTTTTCCAAAAATAAGTTGAATCATGTCTCATTTGCTTGCTGGGTGCTTACGAATAAAGAGTCCATGTATAGTTTGTGCTCTCTCTCTCTTCCAAAACATCAAACCACCCTGGGAGAGAATGCATAATAATGCACTGATAAAGCCACCTGCCGTCTTCCAGCACAGCGTGCTGCCATTATGAGAGGGATCCTCTGGTTTACCCAGTGAGAAGGGAGAAGACTGCACTCACCGAGCTGGGGCTAGAGTGCCGCCTGACTTTTGGTGACTCTTTGCCGGTGGAGGAGGTCTTAAAGTTAATGCAAGCATTGTTCTCAGAATGCACCCTCTTCACTTGATTAGCTGGTTTCTCAAATGGGTCAAAAGTGCTCTGTGTCCTCTGAACCCTGACTTTTTTATCCTCAGGAATTGTGTCCAGGGGTTTGATCACTGAGTCCATTCCCTGGCAGTTCCGTGTAGACATCTTTGTGACACATATCTGGAAAAAAAAAGAAATTAAACTCAGAACTCTCCATTGAAACTTTCATATCACTAAACATGCTGATTTGATATTCTAGAACACATGCCAATTTAAATTTCAGGAAATACCCAAAAAGGCCACGTTCTAAAAGCCCTACCAGCTTAAACCACAATATGTAAAATTCCTTATAATCATTCTGCTTATACTCACTTAGGGCTGACACTAAAAAGGGACACTCTAGGCCTGGACTGCGATTGCCCTAAGGTAGTTCTTGAACTCCACCACATGTTTTACCAACTGACTGCAAGTGGGATTCTTCCTGAATCATTTAAAAAGTTGGAAAACTTGCCTTAATAAAAAATCAGTTGAGCTACATCAGATGGCCATTTTAACTGATGGGCATCACGTAAGCAGTTAACATGGCTAGAGAGAAAGATCATTACGTTCTTCAAAAATTTTATGCTTGAATATGTATGTTTAAAATCTGTCCCCATCTTGATTTCATCTGCAAACTGGAATGAAACATATAAAAAAGCTAACGGTTGGGTGGGGGGAGGGTACGGAGGGGGAAGTGGTGTACCCACAACATGACTAACAAAAATGTACAACTGAAATCTCACAAGGTTGTAATCTATCATAACATTAATAAAAAAAAAAAAAAAAAAAAAGCTAACGGTTAAAGATGTGGAAAAACTGAGAGCACTGTGTTTTCCTAATACCGAAACTAATGGATGAAAAAGAATAATACTGTAAAAGAAAAATGGTGATTACTACTCAATTCCAAATTTTGTTTCCATCATTCCACTAGACCCCTCATTCCTTCAACCTCTCCGCTCCTTCTCCGTGCACAGCACTCTCTCATTGCATGTCAGTCTCTCTGACTTTTGCTCCTTGTTTTCCATTTTATGTTCTAGCCCTTTCGTTCTCCCTGTACTCTGGAGACTTTGTTGTTCTTATTAAATAACTGTACAGCCTCTAGCTTGTCTGTAAAGCTAGGTAACTTTATTATTCTCTCTAGAGAAAAGATAACTGTGAAATTGCTTTTACGGGTTTTTTTTTCTTGTTGTAAAAAGTTTCCCCATCTCTATTTTAAAAAGCAAGGAAAGAGAAGATATTTAAGAAAATCTCATACTGTTAAAGTAAAAATATAAAATGTCTAATATGTACAGGATGACTCCATATGGGGAATAAATGTATCTATGTGTATGGACAGATATAGATACAGACAGACAGATACAGACATATAGATATTTGTATGTATACGTATGAGCACAGTGAAAGGTATAGATGGAAATACATTAAACTGTTAACATAAGATACCTCCAGACATGTGGAATTGAACATGGAAAAGGTAAGATTACTAATTTTTTATATACCTGTATTGTTTGAATTGTATAATAAATGTCTGACAATGTAATTTTAAAAAACCACTAGAGTAAGAAGGTACATATAATTAAATGAAACACTCTCAAGTTTTTGAAACAAAGAAAATTTACTTAAATATTAAGCATCAACTCTGTCCTAAGAGTGTGTTGCAACTACTAAGCACAGGTTGACTTATAATCAAGTCAAATAAGAAGGATATCATCATGCTTCTATTGCCACAAAATTGCTGAAAATGTCTTTAAAAGACTCAAGGAAAAGTTCTCTACTCATGAGCAAAAACTAACAATTTATCACAACTAGATTAGGTGCACTCAATGTTTTTAAAGACTTATGTGTTCTTCTTAAGGATGTAAACGCAACAGGCAATAGATGTGATGTGGATGTGAAACCACCCCCATCACTGAAGCAACTGAATTATAAAGATAATACATAAACACACAGGCCTGAAAAGTCAATGAGCCCCAAGCACAAGAAATACAAAGAAAATGACATGAAGGCATATTGAAAACAAATTGCTTAAAACCAATGATAAAGAGATTATCTTAAAAAGGAGCCAGAGAAAAAAATAAGTACTTTAAAAGATAAAGTATGACAGCAAATATTTGGAAACTAGATAATGCGAAAGAGGAATTAGAAAGTATCTTGAACCAAATGAAAATAACAAGACAAAATAGCAAAATGGCAGGATGCAGCTAAAGTAGTACTTTAGCTCTATAAGAATTTATAGTACTAAATGCACGTAGGAGAAAAAAAGAAAGGTCTCAAAGCAATAAGATTACACTTTAAAATACTAGAAAAAGAAGAACAATTGAAACCCAAAATAAGCAGAAGAATAAAAATGATGTATAAATATCAGAGTGGAAATAGATGAAATAGAAAATGAAAACAACAAAGAAAATCAATGAAACCAAAAGCTGATTTTCAGAGAAGATCAAAAAAAGTGATAAACATCTAGCCAGACTGATCAGGACAGAACAAGAAAAACAGATTCTACTTGGGGCCGGCCCAGTGGCCTGGTTGTTAAGTTTGTATGCTCTGCTTCAGTTGCCTGGAGTTCACAGGTTTGGATCCCAGGCACAGACCTAGCACCGCCTGTCAAGCCACACTGCAGCAGCATCCCACGTCAAAAATAGAGGAAGGCTGGCAGAGATGTTAGCTCAGCGACGGTCTACCTCAAGCAAAAAAAGGAAGATTGGCAACAGATGTTAGCTCGGGGCCAATCTTCCTCACAAAAGAAAAAAGAAAAAAAACAGATGCTACAAATGCTATGAACAACTTTACACAAATAAATTCAGCAACTGAGATGAAACAAATTCCTTGAAAGACAAAAACTACCAAAGTGCACTCAAAAGGAAATGGATGACCTGACTAGGCCGACGTCTATTAAAGAAATTAAATTTGTAGCCAAAAACTTTATCACAAAGAAAATTCCAGGGCCAGAGAGCACCACTGGTGAAGCAAACCAAACATTTAAGGAAAAAGCAATTACAATTCTACAGAAACTCTTCCAAGAAACCGAAGAGGAGAGAATACTTCCCAACTCATTTATGAAGTTATCATCATTCCACCACCAAAAGCAGACAAAAATATTACAAGAAAACTACAGATAAATTTCTCTCATGAATATAGATATAAAAATTGTCAACACATTTTTAACAAATTGAATCCAATAATATATAAAAAGGATAATAAATCATGAAAAAGCAGCATTAATCCAAGGGAGGCAAAGTTGGCTTAAGTTTCATCATTTTAATATACCATGGTAAGAAGTCCCTAAAATGACCTCCAGTGATGGCCACTTCCAGGTATCACACTCTTCTTTAGTCCTCAGATCTTGAGTGTAGGAGGCTGCATTCGTTGACTTGTATTCAGTAAACAGAATACGGCAAAAATCACGGGATATCACTTCTGAGAAAAGATTATAAAAAGATCATGGCTTCTGCATTGGTACTGCCTCCCTCTCGTTCCTTCTTTCTTAGATCACTAGCCCTGGGCAAAGCCAGCTGCCATGTGACGAGGCAGCCCTGTGGAGGGGCACAAGTGCAGCTGGACTGAGGACTGCAAACAATCAGGCGAGTTGCACCTTCAAGCGCAGCCACAGCCCTGGCCTACTGCTTGCCTAGAACTTCAGGAGAGACCCTGAGCCAGAGGCAGCAGCTAAGGAGCACCTGCATTCTAGACCAACAGAAACTGTGAGACGAAAAATATGTTTGTCATCTTAAGATGCTGTTTTGGAGTAATTTGTTATGTAGCAATAGATAACTAACACACAGACTTTTTTAAATCATAAGAGTATCTCAATAGACTCAGAAAGAGCATTTGACAAAATCCAATACCCATTCATGATTAAAACTCAACAAACTAGAAATAGAGGAAAACTTGCTTGACATGATACAGGGCATCTACAAAAAAACTACAGCTAACATAAAAGTTAATAGTGAGAAACTGAATGCCTTTCTCCTAAGAACAGGAACAAATCAGGAATGTCCACTCTCATCACTGATTCAACATTGTATTACAAGTTCTAGACATTGCCACAAGCAAGAAAAAAGAAATAAAAAGCATCCATATTGTAAAGTAAGAAATAAAACCGACTTTATTCACAGAAAACATTATTGTCTATGTAGAAAATCCAATGAAACCTACACAGAATCATTAGAATTAATAAGTTTTCAAGACTACAAGATAAATGATCAATATACAAAAATCATTTGTATTTCTGGATAGTAGCCACAAACAATACTAGAAATTTAAATTTAAAACACGTAAACAGCTTCAAATAATATAAAATATTTAGTGATAAATCTGACAAAATACATGCAAGATCTGTACACAGAAACTACAAAACATGGCTGACAGGAGCAAAACTAAAAGGGAAAACCGAAACAGAGGGACCAATTCCTGAGCCTTTCAATTTACTGTGACACTCTCAGGAAGAAACTAATTTCTACGTTTTGGCCATAAAACCTTAATAATTTCTTTCTTAACTTAAAAGAAGATCTACATATATACATATAAATGAAGTGAGGTAACGAATGTATATAAAATGATAATATGAAAAGTGTAAATGGGGATTGGATTGACACAGAGATGATGGGAAAATGGTGACCATGCTTGGAGTCTAACCCTCTCCTTGAAGCATAAACTCCATGGAACTATCTCTTAGTTTTGCCCAGGAGAATATGGAGCTAATCCTACATTCTATTTAACCCTACATTCTATTTTTTACTCAAGGTCTTTGAACTATCTTAGTAAACTAAACTTTCTCAGATGGAAAACTCCATTTATGGGGAAATACATGGGCAAATTTTTTTCTAAATATATGGGGAAAAATTCACGATGAAGTACAACTTTGTAGCACATGTACACTAACACAGGCACAGCCAAAAAAATCAGCAAGGGGTAAATGACACATGTCATTTCAACACATCAGCAGAGGAAAGAAGAGCTGTAAGGATAGCATCAAAGTTAAGAGAATGAACTTAGTTCTTAACTAGTTCATGAAATCATATAAACTCATACAAACCTTTCATTTGCTGCCCTTCATGCTGTCAATTCCGGCAAAACTGAGACTCACAGGATTATCTCTTAACTTTAGGAGACAAAGGGACTCCAATTGGAAATTTTCAAAA